TCTAGGTATTAGAGATACCAGATGTAAGCTTTCAAGTAACTATGCTTAATATATGTTAGAAGTAATAAAAGATGGGGTTGATAATTTTGGCAGAACTAAAACCCTTTTAAGTATATATGAATATAAGTCAATCTAAGCTTAAATGAATTTGTTTACACTTATAAGTATATGTAAATATATACACACAAATGTTAATATACATATGTATGTTTTTAAAAGAAGATAACCTGAACTGAAACATAAAGAGACAAAAAAGATAGAAAACAATAGAACAGCCCTTAAGAGACATAAAGAATATGGTTGACTCTTGAACCATGGGTTTGAACTACATGGGGTCCACTTATACACAGATTTTTTTTTTTTTTTAGCCTAATGGGGAATAAAAATGTAGTATTTGTGAGAATGCAAAACCTGCAAATGAGGAGAGCCAACTTTTGTGCAGGCAAGTTCCACAGTGCTCACTATGGAACTTGAGTATTTGTGGATTTTGGTATGCATGAGGGTCTTAGCATCAATTTCTTGTATATACGGAGGGATGACTGTATGGGAAGGTCTAATGTACATGTAATTAGAGGACCAGAAAGGAAGGAGAAAAATGGAGCAGAAACTGTATTTGAAGATACAATGGTTTTCAATTTTCCGAAAGTGATTAAAAGCATCAGGCCACAGAACCAAGAATACTCTGCAGTCCAACCTGGATATATGCAAAGAAAACATTGAGGCAAGAAATTGAAGAAGAGACACAAAAAATTGGAAAAACATTCCATGTTCAAGGGTTGGAAGAATCAATATTGTTAAAACTTTCATACTACCCAAAGCAATCTAGATTCAGGGCAATTTATAACAAAGTTTATAAATTTATAGCAAAGATGCCATCGGAAACAGCACAAATGTTCATCAGCAAAAGAATGGATAAAGGAGTTGAGGTATATTCATATACCATGATACCATGTAACAACAAATAAATGAACTAGAGCTACACACAGCAGCATGACTCTTAGGATTTCGCTGAAGTAAAGTTAGAAATATTCATAAATATTCTGTGGTGTTAGAAGCCAGCTTTGGGCCGGGCGCGGTGGCTCAAGCCTGTAATCCCAGCACTTTGGGAGGCCGAGGCGGGTGGATCACGAGGTCAACAGATCGAGACCATCTTGGTCAACATGGTGAAACCCCGTCTCTAGTAAAATTACAAAAAAATTAGCTGGGCACGGTGGTGCGTGCCTGTAATCCCAGCTGCTCGGGAGGCTGAGGCAGGAGAATTGCCTGAACCCAGGAGGCGGAGATTGCGGTGAGCCGAGATCGCGCCATTGCACTCCAGCCTGGGTAACAAGAGCGAAACTCTGTCTCAAAAAAAAAAAAAAAAAAAGAAGACAGCTTTGGGGTAGTGATTGGGAAGAAGTATAAGGGTAACTTCGGAGGTGTGGATAATGTTCAGTTCTTGGCCTATGGTGGTTACTCGGGTGTGTTTTCATATGGTAATAGTTTCTCAAACTTTACACTTAATGTTTCTGAAAATGTTATATGGCAGTTTAAACTTCAGTGAGATAAATATGAATAAATATACTCTGTCCTAACATTTTCTAAAATGTTAGGAAAATAGATTCAATTAAGAACAGACTCACTACTTTTTAGGTAGTACTGTTTTTTTCTCTAAGGTATCTCCAAGTGATCACAAAGAAGATTTGATTTTTTAAATTAGAATTTATGCACTTGGAATCGCTCCAGCTTTGGTGCCCATATTATCACTTATTTTTCTATTTCAATTCATGCATCCTGGGTTAACTTACTATGTACAGTGTTAGTAATGTATTGCTATATTCTGTAGCAAATAAAAGGACATATCAATTATTTTGTTTTATTTTGTTAGGATACATTTTAGAGATTAAAAAAAAAGTCTTTATATACTTGAGATAACTCTTCTGTATTTTTTTTTTTTTTTTTTTTGTCTTAGAGACAGGGTCTCACTCTGTTGCCCAGGCTGGAGTGCAGTGATGTCATCATACCCCACTACAACCTCACACTCTTGGGCTCAGGTGATTCTCTCATCTCAGTCTCCTGAGTAGCTGAGACTAAAGGCACATGCCACCAGGCCTGGCTAATTTTTTTTATTTTTTATTCTTTTGTAGAGGTGGGGTATTGCCCAGGCTTGTCATGAACTCCTGGCTTCAAGCAGTGTTCCCATCTCAGCCCCCCAAAATGTTTGGGTTATAGGCATGAGCCAGTGCCCCCAGCCTGTATTTTAAATTAACATAATATCTGTACCTTATGTAATTCTTCCTTGGGCATTCAGGTAGCTAATTTGGAACTTTTTTTTTTCTAAAGTCTACATTTTCTCTTGGATTTGGCAAATTTTTAGCTGAGCTAAAATTCTAGTACTCACAGCCGGGTGTCCTCAAAAGAATGAAGTTGGAGCCCTAGACCGTACTATATGCAAAGAGTAACTGAAAATGGATCATTGACCTTAAATATGAGTTAAAACTTTAGATGAAACAAGAGTAAATCTTCACGGCCTTGGATGTGGCAGTAGATTTTTAGGTATGTGTGATATCGTGATATAATAAGGAATGCATATTTGGTATTTGTCCCTGGTTTCTGGCACATAGCTCCTAAAGGCCATGAAATTTCCTGAGTGGTAAAAGTGAGAGGAACATCTTTTGTTACTCATAACAAGCATGTTTCAGCCACATCTGAGTTTATATTAACAAGGAGGCTTTTGTAAAGCCCCTAAGGATGGGTAGGGAACTTGTTGCCAGGAGAACCAATCAAATGATTAGTTTTCATTAAAAACTCTGAACAACAGAGTTTAGAGAGCTTTTGGGTTGGTGAACACATTGAGAGGATGGGAAGGTGGTACATCTGGAGAAATTACAGAAACTCTGCATCTCTTTCTGCATACCTTGCATCTGTTCCATTTGGCTGTTTTGAGCTGTATCCTTTATAAGAAACTGGTAACAGTAAGTAAATTGCCTTCCTGAGTTCTGTGAGTCGTTCTAACATTATTGAACCAGAGGAGGCTGTCATGGGGATCCCCAATTTATAGCCAGTTGATCAGAAGTACAGAGGACTGGACTTGAAATTGGAATCTGAAGTGAGAGTAATCTTGTGGGTCTGAGCCCTTAACTTGTGGGATCTGATGCTAACTCCAGATAGATAATGTCAGAATTGAATTAAATTATAGGACACCCGGTTGGTGCCAGATAATTCGTTGTTGTGGGAATAAATCCCCACACATTTGGTGTCTCAGAGTGTTATGAATCTAGAGAAAAGTAGTTTGTTATTTTTAGACTGTGTCACGAAAAGCATATTTAACAAAAGAAAAAATAATTGTACTTTATCGAAATTAAAAACTTCTGTACATTAAAAGACATTAAGAAAGTAAAAAGACAACCTATGGAATGGGAGAAATCTTCAGGGTTCAAGTGATTCTCCTGTGTCAACATCCCGAGTAGCCGGGATTGCAGGCGCCTACCACTGCACCTGGCTAATTTTTGCATTTTTAGTGTAGAGATGGGGTTTCACCATCTTGGCAGGCTGATCTTGAACGCCTGACCTCATGATCCACCTGCCTCAGCGTCCCAAAGTGTTGGGATTACTAACACTACAGAATTAATTTCAAGCTGTTACTTGTGTATCTGTTAAAAGAAATATATTCAATCAGTGAACCTCTCTTTAATGTATATCCTTTGACCATTTTTCATAGTACTTTATGAAAACATTTTTCTTAATATTTTCTAGAAATTTAAGTTTGGCTGGTTGTTACCACTATATAAATAGCTTTATTTCATTATTTATTTCAACTGGAGAGTTTGATTTTTTAAAACATGATGGTATAATTATATACTACATTGTTATATCTTGAGGCCATATTAAAAATAGATTTTTATACCAAATGATGACTAGAACTTTAATAGACTAAGCTATGTTTTCATGTGATTCAAAGGAGCTATAAGTGGTAAAAGTGAGAAAACAGTATTCTATATTTTAATTGTGAGATAAAACTTGTAATTTTTAGGGAGAGGTTTATGTGCTGTGATGTTCAGGTTTTATAATAATTTTCTGGTTGATAGGAAATCTTATAGAATCATTTGTCGTTTTGTGTTAGACATTCTTTTCAAAGACCAAGTATATTTTGCAAATTATTCAGTATTGTGCTTAGGAGATTTTTATTTTTGTATATATGTCTTATGACACATTTTAGCTGACTGTGGTATTATGAATATCTCATGTACACATGTGTCAATTTCCATACCTGTTATGAACTCCTGAAAGATCAGGAAGCAGATATGTCATGTGTAGTAAAAGAGTACTTGAGGCCTTTTTGGTGATAAAATTGTCCTTGTTAACATAGTGTAAAATTCTCAAAATTGTTTTTTTTTTTTTCAGCTTATTTTCTTCTACATCAAATGGAAATACCCATTCCATTGCATTATTAAATGAAATGATATTAATAAAATTTTTACTACAGTAGTGAGAATTATAAATATAAGCCTATAATTTTTATCTGTGGCTAATCAGTCTAGCTCTAGTTTCTCTTAACATTTTTCCTTCACCATCATGCTTTTTAAATTTGAATGTTATATAGCACTTGAGGTTCTACTTGTTTTTAGTTCTCTATATTTCAGTTTCAGAAAATAGTCTGGATTTAAGTCTAGCTAATTTTCTGTTTAAAGTGAACTCATAGGTGGTTGTATTTGAGATGGACTACTGTGCTTAAAAGCAAAGGTTCCTGGGAACATAATAAAAAGCAGGCATTATCTATTAATCAGAAGGTTATTAGTGGTTTTCCTCTCTATCGTAGTACACCTTTTTTTAAAGCTATTCAAGCTTATTAAATTAAAATATAACTTTAAAATAAATAAAACAGTGCACACCTACACAAATATAGAGAATGAAAGTTCACGTCTGCCTCTGTCTCACACTTTCTAGCCTGATACAAACTTTTAGAAATAGAAAAACCTAATTTTGATTGTTAATAACTTGTTAAATATTTTTAATCTTAGATGAAAAATCAACACTGGAACAGAAACCTTCTAAACCAGCAGCTCCACTAGTCCCACCCAAGAAACCTACTCCACCAACCAAAGCCAATAATTTATTGAGACCTTCTGGAATAATGTACCCAAAGCGACCTGAAAAACCAGTTCCTCCACCACCTCCTATAGCCAGGTAAGTTTTACCTAATTTTAAATTAGCTTATTGGTTTACTCACTTTTGACCTTAATGGCTCTGTTGCCTTTCTAAATCTCCAGGTAAGTTTTTTCTTATTTTTCAAATATATTTATTTTTTAAATTGACATATACAATTGTATGTATTTATTGTATACAACATGATGTTTTAAAATACATATATATATAAAATATGTTGTGGAATGGCTAAATCTAGCTAATTAACAGCCTCACATAGTTGAGATTGTTAATTATGAGTAACTATGTGATAACTTCACATAGTTATTTTTGTGATGAGAACACTTAACATTCACTCTTAGCATTTTTAAAGAGTGCAGTAAATCACCATTAACTGCAGGCACCATAATGTACATTGGATTTCTTGAACTTATTCTTTCTATCTAACTGTAAATATGTATTCCTTGACTACATCTTCTCATTCCCCTCCACCTCACAATGACTTTAGGCTCTGGTAATCACCATTCTACTCTCTATTTCTATAGGATTAACTTTTTTAGACTTCACATTTGAGTGGAGAACATGTGGTATTTGTCTTTCTGTGCCTGGCTTATTTCACTTAACCTAACATCCTCCAGATTCATTGATGTTGTTGCAAATGGCAGGCTTGCTTTCTTTTTATATGGCTAAATAGTATTCTTTGAGTATATATGCCACATTTTCTTTCTTCATTCATTCATTGATACTTTAGGTTGCTTCCAAATTGTGGCTGTTGTGAATAGTGCTGCAGTAAACATAGGAGTCCAGATATCTCTTTGACATATTGATTTTATTTCCTTTGGATGCATACCCAGTAATGGGATTGACAAATCATATGACAGTTCTATTTTTAATTTCTCCAGGGACCTCTGTACTGTTTTCCATAATGGGTGTAGTAATTTACATTCCTATCAACAGGATGCAAGCGTTCCCTTTTCTTAAGATGCTCACCGTTATTATCCTTTATCTTTTTGTAAAGTTAAAATTTATTTTAGGACCGGGCGCGGTGACTCAAGTCTGTAATCCCAGCACTTTGGGAGGCCGAGGCGGGTGGATCACGAGGTCAATAGATCGAGACCATCCTGGTCAACATGGTGAAATCCCGTCTCTACCAAAAATACAAAAAATTAGCTGGGCATGGTGGGGCGTGCCTATAATTCCAGCTACTCGGGAGGCTGAGGCAGGAGAATTGCCTGAACACAGGAGGCGGAGGTTGCGGTGAGCCGAGATTGCACCATTGCACTCCAGCCTGGGTAACAAGAGCAAAACTCCGTCTCAAAAAAAAAAAAAATTATTTTAACATTGTAAATAGCATCCAAGAAGAATATAAACATGTTGAAAGCTGGATATGTACACAAAGATCACAGGCAGGTTCTGGCAGTTTGATTGGAGCCTTGGTTATTAAAATGCAGCAGTAAATTCCCAGGGGGCTGAGCACTATTCTTCTGGCTATGCCAGTAGTCCTTGTGCACACTTAAAACACTTGGGGAGTTATAGTACAAATACAGTCAGGGTTGGAACCATGGCAAACCAAGAGCTCTTAGAGATGGACCTAAGAGCTAGGCCTCATGGACCGTGTTGCTAGGCATCATGGAGAAAGCAGCAGATAGAAGTGAAGGAGGTGTATAGGCAGAGGGCCCTCTTCTGTCACCCAGACAAAAATTGGATAATCACAGAGCATCTGAAATCCTCCCCTAGCTTTCTCAGGCCTTGCTGCAGCCAGGGCTTCATATGATGAAGTTAGAAAAGCCAAGAACGCAGACAGCATAGAGGACCCAGAGGCTTGATGAGAGAAAAAAGAAAGCTAATCTTAACTTGGAGGCCCAGACCTAGGTGAGTGAAAAGGTGGAGAAAAGTTAGAGCACCAGGACAATAGAGCCAGAGATAACTTAGTGAAGAGTATTCCTGGCAGCTGGAAAACAGCAGATGATGATCCAGGAGCATATGTGCTAGGAACTTGACTCAAGACTAAAAGTCAGAAAATACTGAAAGAAATCCCAAACTAAAACTGAAATGGAAGTGCAAGAATGGTGAGTCAGAAGGCAGCTACTCCAAAAACATACTCTTGTGGCTTTTACAAAAGTATGGTGGAATTCTCCACCTAGTGCTTTTCAGTAAGCAGGCAGGCACTGCTGTCGTGGAGTTTGGGACTGTCAAGGCTTCAGAGGTGGCTGTGTGGAATAAAGTTTGCCTGATTGATAATCCTCAGGAAATTTCCTCTTCGGAAGGAGGACTCCAGAGTGCAGTGGGTCCCAGCCACTCAGGACAGTCAAAGGATCCAGTGGTGTCTCTTCTTGCCAGATGCATGCAAGAGCTGATTGCCAAGATGCAGCAGTAGTCAAGGAGAGACAGCCCATTTAGTCTTCTGCCGTAGCCTTCCCAAGTCACACCACTTTTTAAAAACATCACCAATAAACTTTAAAAGCAAGGAAGAAACAAACAATCCCAACAAAAAGAGGGCTAAGGACATGAATAGACAATTCTCAAAAGAGTTGTCAAATGGCCAACAAGCATATGGAAAAATGATCAAAATCATTAATTATCAGGGAATGCAAATCAAAACCACAATGTGATACCACCTCACTCCTGCAAGAATGGCCATAATAAAAAAATAATAGATATTAGCATGGATATGATGAAAAGGGAACACTTCTACACTGCTGGTGGGAATATCAACTAGTACAACCACTATGGAAAACAGTATGCAGATTCCTTGAAGAGCTAAAAGTAGATCTGCCATTTGATCCAGCAATCCCACTGTTGGGTTATCTACCCAGAAGGAAAGAAGTCATTATATGAAAGAGATACTTGAACACGCATGCTTATAGCAGCATAATTCTCAATTGCAAAAGTATGGAACCAGCTCAGTTGCCCATCAATCAATGAGTGAATAAAGAAATTGGCTGGGCACGGTGGCTCACGCCTGTAATCCCAGCACTTTGGGAGGCCGAGGTGGGTGGATCACGAGGTCAAGAGATCAAGACCATCCTGGTCAACATGGTGAAACCCCGTCTCTACTAAAAATACAAAAAATTAGCTGGGCATGGTGGCGCGTGCCTGTAATCCCAGCTACTCAGGGGGCTCAGGCAGGAGAATTGCCTGAACCCAGGAGGCGGAGGTTGTGGTGAGCCGAGATTGTGCCATTGCACTCCAGCCTTGGTAACAAGAGTGAAACTCCATCTCAGAAAAAAAAAGAAATTGTTGTGTACATATATATATACACACACACACACACACATACTGTGGAATACTACTCAGCCATAAAAAGGAATGAAATAATGGCATTCACAGCAACCTGGATGGAATTGGAGACCGTTATTCAAAGTGAAGTAACTCAGGAATGGAAAATCAAACATTGTGCATTCTTCCTTATATGTGGGAGATAAGCTATGAGGACACAAAAGTATGATACATTGGACTTTGGGGACTTTGAGGGAAAGGGTGAAAGGGTAGTGAAGGATAAAAAACTGCACATTTCGTACAGTGTACACTGCTTGGGTGGTGTGTGCACCAAAATTTTAGAAATCACCACTGAAGAACTTACTCATGTAACTAAACACCACCTGTTTCCCGAAAACCTGTTGAAATAAAAAAATAGTTTAAAATAATAAAACAATTAAAAAAACAGGAATATTCTGTACATTTTGATTTAGCTCTGCTGCTTACCTTCTAAAGTTGTCCGTCTATTGTTGGAGTTTAATTTTATGTATTATTTTCCATATTTTCTGTAGATCTGTTGAATGCTAATTTTATATTTATAATAATTTTCTACACTTATTAAACTGTTCTCACATTTCTGATTTTATTGTGATCAGTCTTAGGACAGAGTTTTACATTTATGGAAGTAGCTTTACAGAACAGAAAGTAATCAGTATTAGACCATAAAATCTTTAATGTCATTAAATCACAATTTTTTTTTAAAGTCATGTTTCATAGTAGTGATTTTTGCATGTTTTTTTCTTATTTCAGGATTAATGGGGAATTTTCTACCATTTCATCAAAATATGAAACTGAGCCTGTATCAAAACCAAAGCTAGATTCTGAACAGTTGCCACTTAGACCAAAATCAGTAGATCTTGATTCACTTACAGTAAGGACCTCCAAAGAAACAGGTAGGTCAGCAGGGACAATGGTGATGTATTTAAAAAAAAATTGTCAATATAGGTTTCAGCAACTATTTAAAATAAGAGATATGTGTATGCAGTTTGTGTGTGGATAAAGTTGAAATTATGCAGTTGAAATTTGTTTAAAATTTAGTAACCAAAGTAGAAATAATAAAATAAGATAAGTAAGTAAAATTGTTATGGTCCTTACTGCTCAGAGGTTTCTTACTGATCAGAGGATTGAAATAGATGTTAAAAGATGATCAATCTATTACTCTCTCTTTAAAGTTTAAAAATGAGATGAGATAGACTTTCAGTGCCAGCATTAGATTAATAGGACTTTAAATTTCTCCTCTTAATCCAGAGATACTTTGTTTTCAGTATAAGAAAATATTTTTCTAACTCTGTATATCAGCAGGCTTCACTTCTTTTGCTAATTATTTTTTAAGCTTTAGGACTGATTTTTCAGCTTACTAATCATCTTTATTTGTCTAGTCTGTACATCTTCCTATTTTTCTTAAAACACCTATTACTATAAAATGGAAAACTTGAAACAGAAGTCTTGATAGTTTTCATTATTAAAGGCATTGTGCCTTCATTATTTTTTGGTAATTGTTAATATTTTGTATAGTGCTTTGCATTTGCTTTTAGTTTTTTTAAATTTTTCAAAGCCCTTTCTCATGTATGTTTTTAGTTTAACTCTAGGAAGCAAATGCTTTTTTTCCTTCTATTTTGGGTCTAAACAAAGTAAGGTACAGACACATCAAATATACACTATTCACATAAATCAAAGGAGAACTCTTTAAATTTTCTCCTTTACTCTGTGATATTCTCTGAAGAGATCTTCTTTGTCATGTAGTTGGATCCTGCCTACTATGGATGAAGCTCTATTTACTACTAATTTCTGGGAATTGAGATGTTGATTGTATTTTAGAGAAATTCATTGAAATTTATTCAATATGTTTTATATGGCGAAAGTTATCCTTAGTAATTGTTCAATGAAAAAAGAAAAATAATCCTCGTGCTTTAAAAAATCTTTTATTCTTTTTTATTGAGCTTATCAGTAAACAGAATTTTTTCAGTTCATGTTGTTTTCTGTTTGATTTAAAATATAGCTAGAAATGTGTTTTACAAGTTACAATTGAAGAAAAGTAGATTATTTGAACAATTTTAACAAAAGTTAAATAAAAAAGTTATTGCAACTATATTTTTAATTTTTACAAATTTGTGGGATCTTTATCACACAAGTCTTTAAATGTTGATGGAGTCCCTTTGGGAATTGAAGGAGTAATATCTGGAATCTGTATCTGTTGCTTTGTATTCATCTTTAATGTTTGCATTAGTTTATGTCAAGGCAATGGAATATTTTTTTAAATTTAGGAATTTTAAAACTTTTTTTTTTCAAAATTTTTTTTCTATGTAGAGTCACAACACACTGCCATATTTCTAGTAAAAATAATATATGTAAAAATTTTGAACCATTGATGATTGGAAAGTTCTGTTTTTACTTGGTTTTGGGGGTCCTATTTATATCTTTTATCCATAGCTGTTATTTACTCCCCATATAATAAAGAGACTTAGTGGAACAGGGTGTGAAAACATCTTATTTCCAATTTGTTCTTTTCTTCAAATAAATAAGGAAATAATCTAGAGATGCTCAGACTTAGCCATGTCAGAAAGCTAACAGTTACTTTCAGGCTGCTGTTATTATTTCATCCATTTAATTACACTACCTTTGGTGTACTACACTTAGGCCCTGTAAAGTTCAGAAAATACAAATGTTGAGGATTGAGTTCATGTTAAATATCAAATTATTTACTGAGCAAGTGTTATATCCTCATTAGTTCTTTAGTCATAGTTGCATGAAGGCATAATTGATGGCAGTAAATGGCATGTGTCCTAAGCATTAATTCAGAGATTCCTGCTACCTTTTAAAATTAGACTATCATATGTTCCTAGTATTAGTAATATAAAAGTGTTCTACCTCTTCTGTGATGTTAATACCTTAAAAAAAGTGTTTTGGCTCAAATACAGCCTCAAATATAATGTATGAAACTAGCCTTTTTAATACGTTTTAGAAAGTTGAAAATATACATGAAAACTTATTGAAAATTTTATTATTATGTACCATAATAATTTGAGGTGAAGTAATAGAAAGTACACTGATTTTGCTGTTTAAAAGGGGGTTTTATTTGTTAGTTGATTGCTGATAGCAAGTTTCTTAATGTTTTTTCCCTTAACTAACAATGGAATGATTTAGGACATGTATATGTCTCCTGGAGTACCTGACATGGAAGTTATTACAAATGTTATTTTTCTTCGTCCCTCCCTTCTCCATTGTTAATTAAACCCATCTCATTTTGTTTTTGTTCTAATCTATAAAGGATATAAATCTCTGACTCTATTCTCAGATATTATTTTTTATTTATAAAGTCATATGTATACAATTATGTGTATATATAAACTATGTATATAAATACAGACTGTGACTTTTGTATGTGCAAGAAAGACATATCCAGAACACTCAAATTTTCTTTTTTTTAATGACATGACATAACTTTTTGGTTTCTTCATATATATTCTCATATAAAATGTAGTTTTATAAATATCAGAGCTGTTAAGAACCATGCTTATTTTTTTTTTCTCTATTACAAACACTTCCTCAAAAATTGGTTTAAGGAAAATCTCACTGCCACTACTAATTAATAATAAAGTTTGTGTGGTCCTCACATTTCTAAAATCGTACATTATCTGAAAGGTAAAATTATTTTCCAATTAGTTTTAAAATATAAGATAGAAAATTTTATAGTAACCTAGCTGTTACATTAAAAAAGCCCAACTGATGAACTTCCCTTACAGTGTAATATTTTTTATCTTTTGGTTGTTTTTCTGGGATAAGATTTTCTATGATTAAAAGACAATTTTACACCTGTGATTACAGCACTTTGGGAGGCCAAAGCAGGAAGATTGCTTGCATCCAGGAGTTAGGGGCTAGCCTAGGCAACACAGTGAGACATTGTCTCTACAAGGAAAAAACAAAACAAACAAAAAAGTTGGGCATGGTGGTGCATACCTGTAGTCCCAGCTACTAGGGAGGGAGGCTGAGATGAGAGGATTGCTTGAGCCTGAGAGTTGGAGGTTGTAGTGAGCCTTGATCATGGGCCTTTCTGCACCCTGGGTGATAAAGTGAGATCCTGTCTCAAAAACAAACAAAAACAATTTTAAAGAAACATATTATTTGATGGATGCATTCACTGTTGAATAGGGAAACACATTTCTTTTTCTTCAGGTTTATTTGATAGTTGATCTACTTTTTAAAAATTACTTTTCCAATATTTACTTATTTCTTCCAGAAAGAATTTATGGTGGAATTTTTCTAGTAGGTACCTGTTGAGTGTGTATACTGTAAAAAAGTGAGTGAGCCTATATCTAAATTAGGATTTTAAAAAATTTAGTTTCTAATAGTTTCCTTGATTATATCATATGAAAGACTTGTAAGAACCATATAAGGCATTAGTGAATTTTTATTTATATATGTATGAAATATTTTAAAGACAGTGTTAGTGAATTTTTATTTATATATGTATGAAATATTTTAAAGATAGTATTGTCATATTTTTATAATGAGATATTTTAAAGTAACATTTAACATTTTTCTTCGATACCATAGAATTAAAATTGCTTTTCATCATTGTAATTTCTGTCATGGGCTAAAGACTAAAAGTTGACTAAAGGGTGATTTAATTTTAGTTATAACTACATTATGAGATGTTAACATACTGATTTAATTACTCTGGCCTCTTAAAGCACTAAGCCATGCTTTTGGAAGCTGTCTTGGTGTTCAGTGAGTAATAAACGGAGCTTTCTAGCCTAATGCATATTGAAATTAATATTAAGTTTTTCCTTTGAAAGACAAAGGAATAAACCTAAAATCTAATACACATCTTGTGTAAATTAGATAACCTGCAAATAGTTATATACCAAACATAGAAATGGTTTTATTCATTCTACAGCTGTTCTTTTTTCCTGTTTTGTAAATAATTATTTTGGTTTAGTCTTTTTTCTAGACATTCCTATCCTTGACTTTTCTTTCCAGATTTTGTTTCCTAGCCTGTTTGCCATGTTTCCCTTCTTACGTGTCAGGAAATTATTCTACCCTTCTCCATTTTGGTAAGATGAAAGTTTATAAAGCAATCAAAATAGTATTTTCAATATAAATAGGTGGTGCACATTGACTTTTCTTTGTAATTTTACTGAAAGTGTACATGTCTGTCTGTCTATTTATTCTAACCCTTTTGGTTTTCCATTTTTAGATAAAATGAAATTCACTTTGGAAAAGTCTCCTGATTAGTTTAAAATACTCTTTAGATAAAATGTTTTATAGAAAATTGGCAACCGTAAAAACCAGTTTACTTTCTCCCCAAATTGGATATTTCATTTTGATTTTTAAAAATTTTATGTGTTTCTAGCAACATGCAGAATTTTAAGTGGCTGGCAGAGTGACAAGTGTGATTGCAAAAGCTAAGTGATTGTCATGCCTGTTATGCCATGTGTACAGTGTAAATCCATTGTTATCCCTCTTAGGTAAATTTAAAAGCATTTAGATATGTCATGAGTCCAAAATGTGCACTGTTCCATTTTACTAACCCAATGACTTAAATGGAGAACCTGAGAGAGTTTTAGAATAGTAAAGTTACTTGTCTTGGTGTTGTAATTCAAAACGGGACATACAGAAGACATTTTACATGAGCATGGTGTACAGTTTTGTAAATCTATGTTTTATTTACCCTTTCAGTTTAATTTTTCTTTGTCTTTTCCTGTGTTTTTCTGTTTCTTTCTCTTTCTGCAAGTTGCTTAAATATGCATTTGAAAATAATCTCTACAGGCTAAAATGATTGGATTGTACTTGCTAAAGTTTTTTCTTTGTGGATTGTTAATGCATACATCAGTGTAAAAGCAATTTTTCACCCTTCAAACCATAACATATTTTAACACCTTTTAAAATTACTAATTGCTTTCTTTATATTTACAAATAACATGACATTTAAATATATATTTAAATTCAACCTCTTTCAGATTTTATATAATGTGTTTTTCATTAACTCATTTATTACTATGCTTTGTTATATTTCATGATTACTTACAATTATCAAAAGACTCAAAAATTAAACCAAGCATATTAGAGTATCTGTTGATACAAGTGAGAACACACAAAGAAATTGATGGAAAAAAATTAAGTTATCAAATTCTTCTAGTTATAAAATGCATATTACCAAACAATGATGCCTCTTTTTCTGCCTTACCCTTGTGTCCTCCATCCCTTATAAACATTCTCTATATAAGTAAAGTTGATGAATAAATTTTTAGGGCCGTGATGTTGAGCATCTTTAGATCTCTTTTAAGAAACAAGTAACTGAGTTAGAACATACAAATATCCGACAGAAAGTATTATAAACATCTAGGCAGATGGTAATATGAAGAATACAGATACGGATGATTAGACCAAAGGAATCTGCTGTTAAGTAGAACATTTTGGCTGTGGTTAATATCCTGAGTTTGGAATCTGGGGTAAAGGAAGGTTATATGAAAATGGAAGTATCTGTAATAGTTTACCCTTAGGGTTCTTGATTCATATATAGATATCTGGCCTTCAGAGTTAAATAAATTTCCTTTGGTAAGATTTTCTGAGTCATCTAGAAAAAGGCAAGGTATTATATATCATTGTTTTAGAGTAAATTTGTCCTTAAACCCAAGTAATTGGGTCAAAGGTCTGCCAGCCTTTGATGGTGAGGAAATAAGTTGGTAATCCATGTAGCATTTTTTTTTGGTGGGGGAGTGGGGGTATCTGATTTGCCTTAGATTTGTAGCAGTCTTATGATAGCTAAACATGATAATGTCTAAGCAAAGATGCAGTGAGTTATAAACAGTTTGAGTCCCACCTAATACTGTGCACATACATATAGACATAAAGATAACGTTAAATCATGCTTTTGCTTTATATTGAGAAGCACAAATCAAAAGTGGCAGGGTGCCAGATAAAATTTAATTCTTAACATTTGAATATTCTACTTCTTGAAGTTTAAAACAGATTTTACATGCAGATTTTCTGAGATCTTATGAGTTTAAGAAGTAGATTTTTTTTTGTTAGGAACTTAAGATGAGTTTTTTATGCTACTACAGTTTATGATATAGAATTATTTTTCACTAAGAACTTTTTTTTGAGATCTAGGTCTCTATTTGGAAATAACCTTTATAGTGTTAATAAAATCGTATACTATGTGAATGTATCAGGTAAAGAGGATGTTTGTTTTTCCTTTAAGGGTGAGTGTTGTTTTCCAAATGCATATGAAAAGCACAGGTTAATTGTGAGTTCTTCAAAGTAGTGGTACTCTTTTTAATTTATAGTTTGTCCAAAAATTGAAACATTATTTTTTACCAATAAAAAGGTACAGTTCTCTTAGTAAATAATGTTTATTTTTGTTTTCTAGATGTTGTAAATTTTGATGACATAGCTTCCTCAGAAAACTTGCTTCATCTCACTGCAAATAGACCAAAGATGCCTGGAAGAAGGTTGCCGGGCCGCTTCAATGGTGGACATTCTGTGAGTTCACCTAACTATTGTAAACTACACTAGATTTAGCAAATACAGAGTCCATTCGAAGATAGAGGATTTATAGCACAACCTAAGTTTAAAAATCAGGAGGATAGCTGTTATAGTCAAGTAGCAAATGCAGGTATTTAAGGAGATATAGAGGGAGAGAGGTGCGTTGGTTCCAACAGGGTCTGGAATGGAAGGTTACAGAATCAGTAGGAAATTATTATGAGGCTTTAGCCACAAAGCACAGGGTTAAAGGGTGAAGAACCTTTTTAAGGTGCTTCAAAGAAAGAACCTGTTTAATTTGTCTTTCAACAACAGATAATTAAAATTGAGCAGCAGATACTCATTTTAGGAAAGATTGAGAAAATTTTTTTTCTTGAAATATTCGGTGTTTGTTTTTTCTTTTTTCTAAATATTTAAAATTGACTTTTGAGTGTGCATAATAGATGTGTATATTTATGGGTTACTTGAGATATTTTGATACAGGCATAAAATGCAAATAAAAGCGGTATCCATCGCATCAAGCATTTATCATTTTTGTTACAAACAGTCCAATTGTACTCTTATTTTTAAGTGTACAATTAAATTATTTTTAACTAGTAGTTACCCTGTTTTGCTAGCAAATATTAGGTCTTACTCATTCTTTCTATTTTTCATACTCATCAACTATCCCTCCATCCCTATCCCCACCTCACTAACACCCTTCCCAGCCACTGATAACAATCTTTCTGTTCTCTGTCTCCATGAGTTTAATCATTTTAATTTTTTAAGTGAGAACATGCAAAGTTTGTCCTTCTATGCCAGGCTTAGTTCACTTAACATAATCACCTCCAGTTCTATCCATGTTGCAAATAACAGGATCTCATTCTTTTTTGTGACTGAATTTTTGTCAATATGAACCACATCATCTTTATCCATTTGTCTGCTGATGGACATTTAGATTGATTCTAGTTCTTGGCTATATTCTTGTGAATAGTGCCACAATAAACATGGGAGTGCAGATATCTCTTTTATATACATACAGATTTCCCTTTTTTTGGGTGGGGGGGTATACATAGCAGTGCTGGATCAGTTAGTAGGCTCTATTTTTAGTTTGTTGAGGAACCTCCAAACTTTTCTCCATAGTGGTTGTACAAATTTACATTCTTCCCAACAGTGTGCAAGGGTTCCCTTTTCTCCATATCCTTGCCGGCATTTGTTATTCCCTATCTTTTGGATAAAAACCATTTTAACTAGGGTGAGGTGATACCTCATTGTGGTTTCGATTTGTATTTCTCTGATGATCATCGTGAAATATTCATTGTTATTGTAGTACTTTTTCTTGTGTCTAAATGTGTTAACTTCTTTTTATGCTTTTTCTGCATTGCCTGGAATACTGGTGTCACTGTAATATTAATATACTAGCTCTTAAATACTATAGTACTTTAAAAATTATCTAAGTGGAGAAAATTCTTGCTATGAGGAAAGCTATTTTTGCCCTCTAGTTAGCAAATGTATTATTCAGCTTGAAAGTATATAACATGCTGTTAATATAGTAATGGGATATCAGCAATAGTAGCAGCTGAAAATCTGTAAAAGTTACTTGCTTTATTATCCAAAGACTTACTACGTTTTCTTTCTTTGGTCTGTTATGTCTCTTGACTTTTAAATAATCATTTAGCCAATTCACAGCCCTGAAAAAATCTTCAAGTTACCAAAAGAAGAAGATAGTGCCAACCTAAAGCCATCTGAATTGAAAAAAGATACATGCTACTCTCCAAAGGTGAGGTGCATTGTTGTATAAGATTTGTTGACTTTCTGCGGTTCTTTGTGGACATCAGAGATACGGAATTTAAGGTGTTTTCTATAAAGAATTATTTCTTCTCCCACAAAATAAAATAATTACTGGTAAAAAATTGAGTTGTTTAGCTTTTTCACACTATTTTCAACAAATATTTTTGAAAGAGCTTACATTATTTTAAATATTGCATATTTCATATTTTTTAGGCATAGATCTATACATCTCTTTCATTTCTCCATTAAACATATATTCTTTTTTTTTTTTTTTTTTTTCCCTGAGACAGAGTTTTGCTCTTGTTACCCAGGCTGGAGTGCAATGGCGCAATCTTGGCTCACCGCAACCTCCGCCTCCTGGGTTCAGGCAATTCTCCTGCCTCAGCCTCCTGAATAGCTGGGATTAACAGGCATGCGCCACCATGCCCAGCTAATTTTTTTTGTATTTTTCGTAGAGACGGGGTTTCACCATGTTGACAGGATGGTCTTGATCTGTTGACCTCGTGATCCACCCACCTCGGCCTCCCAAAGTGCTGGGATTACAGGCATGAGCCACTGCGCCCAGCCTTAACATATATTCTTATAGTCAGAAAAAAACGCTTGTGTAGTACTTACCTAGCTTGGTGCTTAGCACTATAATTAAACATCCAGTCTATACTGGAATGAATGCCAAATGCTGTACATGGGTCCTTTCATCTGTTACATGGTGTTAGGTGTCTTATCAAAATTTTTTCCATTTTTATTTAACATAGTTTTACCACAACTGACACATACTTAAGAAGGTCATTTAGGTTTCCTCCTAAATTATTTCTTGATTTCATTTCAGGGCATTTTTGTCTGTGTTTCCAGTTTATTAAATATACATAATCTGATTTTCTTAGCTGTCAGCAGTCTATTGACATTTTACTAAAATGACCTGCTATTTCAGGCTATGGACTCATTTTAGTAACTCTTCCTGAACGTATTAAATTGTTCAGAATTACTTTTAAGTGAAACTCTTTGGACAGTCACCCAATAAGTATTGAATATGGAAGGTCAAAATAATACCTTTAGAATGCTGTTACATTCTTGCTTCTGCTTCACTAGGCAAACCATCCATAAGACACATTTGATGGATTTTTCTTTTTTTCTTTTAATAAAGTCGTTGTCATTTCCCACAAAAACTTCTAGTGACTACAGATTTATTCTTTAGTTGTCTGGCGATTTTTCTCATTATGAACATCAAGTTGCTTTTGAATTTCCAAATTTGCCATTTATCTTGAAGTACTTAATTGTTTTTCTTCTTGCTGTAAAAATCTTTTAAACTTAAATGTAATACTGAATAAAAATAAAATTAGAAAAAAAAAAGATTTTTTTATTATGTTTTCAGCCATCTGTGTACCTTTCAACACCTTCCAGTGCTTCTAAAGCAAATACAACTGCTTTACTGACTCCATTAGAAATCAAAGCTAAAGTAGAAACAGATGATGAGAAAAAAAATTTCCTGGATGATCTTAGAGCCCAGATTATTGAATTGTTGTGTACTATAGAAGCACTGAAAAAGGATCATGGGTAAGTAGCCCTTCTTTTCTCCTATGAGTACTACTTAACTCATGCATAAAGAATTTTTTAAAAACCTTATTAAGTAAAAATCTAATCTGTGGCTGGGTGTGATCATTCATAGCTGTAATCCTAGCACTTTGGAAGACCAAGATTGGAGGATTGCTTGAGTTCAGAAGTTCAAGACCAGCCTGGACAACATACAAAAACGCCATCTTTGCAAAAAAAAAAAAAAAAAGAAAAGAAAAGAAAAAAAAATTAGCCAGGTGTGTTGGTGCATCCCTATAGTCCCAGCTACTTAGGAAGCTGAGATGGGAGGATCTCTTGAGCCTAGGAAGTCAAGGCTGCAGTGAGCTGTAAACAGGCAAAAGACAAAACCAAGACCCTGTCTCAAAAAAAAGGCTCTGGTATGAGCAAGTATGTTTGCAAAGAAATTTTCATTAACAGTGCTTCTCTCTTTTTGCAAAAGAGTTAAATTGGTAAAGTCATTCTATTAGCTGGATTGTGGAAAACGTACACACATAACCCTAATTTTAGGCTAGAAATCTTCTGGTCAGAATGATTAATTAGTTTTTTTAACTACTAGGAAAAATACGGTGTTTTGGATCTGGTATGTATCTATACATATAGTTAACTTACTTTTCGAGGATTTGATTACTTTTCTGCAAGGTTGAGTTGGACATTTATAAAATGAATGCATAGGGATAGGTGATCTCTAAAACCCTTCTCTTAACTCTGAAAAATTTTTGATATGGTATATGTTGAGATATACCCTAGTTGAAAATTAGGGACTTTTAGAGCTAAAACACATTTACAAGATCATTATTGTAGGTGAATTCCCCCTCTGGCTTTTTAAATGAAGAAATAAATGTTTATAGAGATAAAGTTATTTATCCAAGATCACACAGTTCTTAAATGACAGAGCTAGAACTCAAATCCATATTATCTATTGTTTTAGAGATCTTTTCTGTAACCACTAGTATTTGAATTTTAAAACTTGTTGGCATTTGAAGCATACTTCTACAAAAGCCCAGTAGGTAAAATAGATTTTTTTTTTTAAAAAAAGCAGCTAATCTAATTGAATTGAGAGTGAGGGTGCTCATCCCTTGTCTTCAACTTCCCTTCTAAAAAGATTTCTCAGAATATGGTATCAAAGTTATAGCCAAATAAAAAGTATAAAAGAGCACAAAATAAAACAAAAGTTATGGGCAGAGGCCATGTTACCTCTTTGAGCCTCCTTTATCATTTCTTGTCCAATTTTAAGGTGGCCTAGGAATCTTACTAAAAACAATATTGAGATTAACAGTTTAAGGTATTTGGAGTTTGTAGAAAACTTACAGGTATTTCTTAGAAACAAAAAAATGTATTTTGAATGACTACTTAAAAATATGTAATATATTTTATATATTATATATAATGTGTATATACATACATATATATAGGGAGAGAGAGAGAGAGAGAGAGAGGAGAGATAGAGTTTGTAATTTAATACGCAATAGGTGTTTCTTGGAATCCTTTAGTTCTTCTGTTTTGAAAGATTCTTTTAGTAGATTCTGCAACATGCACATTGTAAGCTGTAAGTTTACTTGTCCAGTAAATATTTATTGATCACCACCTATGTACTAGTTAGAGAACTCTCCTGATTTGATTTTGTTGTTTTACTTTTTTTATACCATGTACTGTTTTACATACACATATTGCCTGTAGGTGGTCTTAAATTAGCTCTAGAATGAATAAAATATTTCTGATAAATATATATAAACACATACCAAACATTTTAGAAGTCTTTCCAAAGGGTATTTTCAATATCTTGAGTTCCTCTTCAAAAGTGAAACTGGATGTCAGGCTTTTTTTTTTTTTTAATGTAGAAAGCATCAACAGGAGAAGGGATAAATACTATTGGTATATTAAAAGAGAAATGCTACATGGCATACAACAGTGAAAGTAAATTTCAACATCAAAATGAATTAATCTAAATGTTATGGGGAAGGAGCTGGTCAGAAGCATACATGCAGTCAGTATATTTCATTTATATAAAGTTGAAAAGCATACCAAACCAGAAAATATATTGTCATACGAATATATTTGTGCATGTGGCAAAATTAGAAGAACAAATGAATAATAAATACTATAAAACTTTTTCTATGGGAGAGAGTGGCAGATAGGATTAAGGAAAGAGGTCACTTTTCGGGATATCGGAGGTACTGGTAATATTTTATTTAGTTGACTTGGAGTTCAGAAGTTTTTGCTTTATTCTTATGGTAGTAGATCTTTATAGCTTAGATATCACTAAGAAATTACTGTTAAGAAGTTAGTTTTGAAACATTATATAAATAACTTTGAAATTTCTTTCTTATAATTATTTTTCATGAGTTTTTTCTTTTCTACTTTTTCAAGCTGTTATTTCTACAGTAAGTACTCTGAAGAATTTTTCTAGTATATGTTGAGACTGAAAATGTCCATACTTTTGATTTAGAAATTTGAGATGCTAACATATTCCTTCCATTCCTTCTATACCATTCCTCGATTCCTTCCACTGCTTCTCCAGAATAATGAATCAGCCAAACAAAAAACTTGGATATTTGAATACCAAGCAGCAGTTATAAATATGAAAATTTTAGCAGCATGAAAATGGTTTAAAATTTGTGAAAAGGCATAATATTGAATATTCGCTAAAGCTATAGAAAAAAGAACAACAGTATAGAAAGTTTAGAAGGGAACACAGGAAGATGAAAACATGAATTAGGAGAGATTATTGGCTAGAGTTTTTAATTTGTTTGGTTTTTGAATTTTAATGTGGTATTTTGTTTTTAAAAATTGAGAAATTTAAAGTCTAGGTTATCTTAACAGATAAACTGTTAACTTGCCTTGTATTGTGATGTGTTGATAGTCATTTTGCCAAATTGCTTGGGCTTTGAGGTTTCCAACCTGGAAAATGTATGATAGCTGAATACAGAAAATTTCTTCCAAAGGTTAGATATTATTTCTATCTTGATTTTATGAGCTGCTCTGAATTTGCTTAATTTCTTGATCTCAGATAGGTTTGCCTTGGTTTTGCGGAGTTTTTAAGTGTTATGTTGAACCATTCAAACGAGAGAATCTTATGTTTTTCTTAATTTACATTGCTATTGCCCTTAGGTTTTTCCCATGTACTGAGAGGTTAGGTAACAAAAACTCTATAAACATTAGTCAGAGAAATTGTTTAATGAAAGACTTAACAGTAATAAGTATTTTATTTTTAGGAAAGAACTGGAAAAACTGAGAAAAGATTTGGAAGAAGAAAAGGCAAGGAGAAGTAATCTAGAGGTAATTCATTTCTTTCAGCTTTGAGAATTTAGTCAGCATAAACTGGATGTTTTTCCCAACCCAACTAGGTGGTTGATTCCTATGCTATGCTACTTCAGTTGGACATATATGCAATAGACTACTACTCAGTCACAAAAAAGAATGAGATCCTGTCATTTGTAACAACATGGTTGGAACTGGAGGTCATTATGTTAAGTGAAATAAGCAAGGAACAGAAAGACAAACTTTCCATGTTCCTACTTATTTGTGGGAGCTAAAAAAAATTAAAACAATTGAACTCATAGACATAGAAAACAGAATGATGGTTACCAGAGGGTGGAAGGGTATTAGTGGAATTAATTAGTGGCAAAGATATTTGTTTGAAATTGGAGTCAGTCCTCTCAAACTCTGCCTCTGCTTTATCAACTAAGTTTATATTTTGTAAATCCTTTGTTGTTTCCACAATATTCACAGCATCTTCACCAACAGTAGATTCTACCTCACTCAACTACCTTCTTGGCTGATCCAAAAGAAACAACTCCTCATCTGTTCAAGTTTAATCTACTTTTAATTCTTGTTTTCTTGCTATTTTTTACCACATCTTCAATTATTTTCTCCACTGAAATCTTCAACCCTTAAAATCATCCCTGGGGGTAGGAGTCATCTTTTAAACTTCTATTAATATTGACATTTCGACTTTCTCCTATGAATTGTGAATGTTCTTAATGGCATCTAAACTGATGCATTTTTTCCAGAAGGTTTTCAGTTTATTTGCCTATATCTGTCAGTGGAATCACTGTCTATGGAAGCTATAGCCTTACAAAATGTTTTTCTTAAATAATAAGATTGAAAGTCTAAATGTGTCTGATTCATGGGTTATGGAATGGATATGTTAGCAGACATGAAAGTAACATTAATCTCCTTGTTCATTTCCATCAGAGCTCTTGGGTGATTAAGGGCATTGTCAGCAAGCATTAATATTTTGAAAATAATTTTTTTTTTCCTGAGCAGTAGGTCTGAACAGTGGGCTTAAAATATTCAGTAAAGGCCGGGCATGGTGGCTCATGCCTGTAATCCCAGCACTTTGGGAGGCCGAGGTGGGTGGATCACGAGGTCAAGAGATCGAGACCATCCTGGTCAACATAGTGAAACCCTATCTCTACTAAAAATACAAAAAATTAGCTGGGCATGGTGGCACGTGCCTGTAATCCCAGCTACTCAGGAGGCTGAGGCAGGAGAATTGCCTGAACCCAGGAGGTGGAGGTTGCGATGAGCTGAGATCACACCATTGCACTCCAGCCTGGGTAACAAGAGTGAAACTCTGTCTCTAAAAAAAATTAAAAAAAAAAAAATAATAATAATAAATAAATAAAATATTCAGTAAATCATACTGTTAATAGATGTGCTGTTATCCAGGCTGTGTTGTTCCATTTATGGAGCTTAGGCAGAGTAGATTTAGGATAATTCTTAAAGGCAGTAGGATTTTCAGAATGGTTAGTAAGTGATGGTTTCCATTAAAACCACCAGCTACATTCACCTAACAAGAGTCAGCCTGTCCTTTGAAGCTTTGAAGCCAGGCATTGACTTCTTTCTAGTTATAGAAGTCCTAAATGATATCTTCTTTCAATAGATGGCTGTTTTACCTCCATTGAAAATTTATGTCTTGTAGCCAGCTTTATCAGTGATCTTACTTAGCTAGATCTTTTGGATAACTTGCTGCAGCTTCCGCATTAGCACTTGCTTCACCTTGCACTTTTATGTCATGGAGATGGCTTCTTTTCGTAAACCACATGAACCAACCTGCTACCCTCAAACTTTTTCTCTGCCACTTCCTTACCTTCTTTTGCAGCCTTCAAAGAATTGAAGAGAGTTAGGGCCTCACTCTGGATTTGGCTTTGGCTTAAGGAAATGTTACAGTTGGTTTCATCTTCTATCTAGCCCACTCAAACGTTCTTCATATCAGCAATAACGCTGTTAAGCTTTCTTATTATTCGTATGTTCACTGGAGTAGCAGTTTTAATTTTCTTCGAGAACTTTTCCTTTGCAATCAGAACTTGGCTGTTTAGGGCAAAAGGCCTATCTCTTGATCTACTGTGGCTTTTAATATTGCCTTTCTCTTTGAGCTTAATCATTTCTAATTTTTGATTTAATGTGAGAGGGATGTGATTCTTTCTTTGACTTGAACACTTAGAGGTCATTTTCAGGTTATTAATTGGCTTATTTTCATTATTAGGCCTGTTCTGTCTTAGGGAATAGAGAAGGCCAAGTAGAGGGGGAGAGAGTCAGAAGAAAGGCTGGTCAGTATAGCAGTTAAAACACACATGACATTTATCAATTAAGTTCACTGTTTTTTATGGGTACGGTTCGTGGCACCCCTAAACAATTACAATATTAACATCAGAGATCACTGATCACAGATCACCATAACATATATAATTACAGTGAAAACATTTGGAATATTTTGAAAATTGTCAAAATATGCCACAGTGACACAAAGTGATCACATATTGTTGCAAAAGTAGCATCAATAATGTTACTCCACGTAGGATCACCACAAATCTTTAATTGTAGACAATGCAGTATCTGTGAAGCATAGTAAAATGAAGTACAATAAAAAAGATATTCCTGTAAGTTGTCTCTTCTATGCAGGTAAGCTATTTTCATTCTTTCTTTGCTCAGGGACAGGGCTGGTGGTGGTGACAGATGGCTGTAGATTCACTACCTCCCATTTTTACTTAGTTTATCTTAATTCTCTGTTAATGATTGACAATTTCAATGATTTCCTTTATCTTTCTTAGCTTTCTTTTTTCCTCACTAATGTTTATTCTTCATTTGCATTATTCTTTCTGCATATCTTAGAGAAAGTTGTAGCATACGTTTTTTTAGAGACTCTTTCCATTGTTTAATTATTTCATATTCCCTTCTGTTTTCTAACCTGCATCATTACTTATCCTATTTTTTTTGTCAGCAATTTGTAGAACAAGAGTGGGTTTGTAACTTGCAGTTAAAAAACCTGGGCTCTTATTCTGAGAATCAACTAACTTTTTTGTTTTAAACTATATATTACTAAGGCTTAGCATTTTCTGCATATTATCTCATTAGACACACATAACAACATGTAAGCGTTATTATTTTAGTTATAAGATTGAATAAGGTAGGGTTTGGAATGATTGTGTTAAGTTGCTCTTGCATTGCTATAAAGAAATACATGAGACTGGGTAATTTATAAAGAAAAGTTTAATTGTCTCATGGTTCTACAGGCTGTACAGGAAGAAGCATGGTGCCTGCATCTGCTCAGCTTCTGGGGAGGCCTCAGGGAGCTTTTACTTATGGTGGAAGGTGAAGCAGGAACACACATTTTACATGGCGAGAGAGGGCATAAGAGAGAGAGTGGGAGTGGCTGCACACTTTTAAACAACCAGATCTTGTGTGAACTTATTCATCATGAAGGGGATGGTACCCCCATGATCCATACACCTGTCACCTGGCCCCGCCTTCAACACTGGGGATTACTTTTGATTTGAGATTTGGTAGAGACACAGATCCAAATCATATCAATGATTAACAGCAATGAAGCTGAAATTAATTTTTTTTTTTTTTTTTTTTGAGATGGAGTCTCGCTTTTTTACCCAGGCTGGAGTACAATGGTGTGATTTTGACTCACTGCAACCACTATACCCCACAGGTTGAAGCGATTCTCCTGCCTCAGCCTCCTGAGTAGCTAGGACTAGGCACGTGCCACCACACCCAACTCATTTTTTTGTATTTTTAATAGAGATGGGGTTTCACCATGTTGACCAGGCTGATCTCAAACTCCTGATCTCAGGTGATCTATTTGCCTCGGCCCTGCAAAGTGCTGGGATTACAGGCATAAGCCACTGTACCTTGCCTTAAAAATATTTTTAACAGAAGCATCCAATCTTCAGCACCTTTGCACTTGAGGATTAAATTACACGTGTGAACTTGGGCAAGTCACTTAACTCCCTTAGCTTTAGTTGTTGAGATAATTTATGTGAAAGTACTTTGTAAATTATCAAACTTTATTTTACCTTTATTTTCAACATTATCCTCTATTGACAACTTTACTACTTTGCATGAAAATACTTAACTTTTGTATTTTTCAGAATCAAAAAGAAGCACCCTTTTAGGTCTAGCTGCCTTCTTGATGTACTGTAGTTATTTTCTCTTTTCACTTGAGGTTTATTTGTTGAAATATGAAAACAGCCCCCATCCTTGTAAAAAAAAAAAAAAAAAAAAGCGTGTTTATGGTCTCTGATTTTTCACCTTCAATTCAGTCCGTAACCTTTTTCATCTTAGGTTAGGTTTATTGATTTCAAATACAAGGTCTCTTCTTCAGTTCCTGCAGCATATCACATTGTTTACCATTACCACCTGTCAAAGGTTTGTCTTGGTTAAGGTAATACTACATCCTATTGTCCCTAACTTCTCCATCTCCTCTTACTTCTTTTTTTTTACTTTTTAAATTTTGTTTTTAGAGACAGGGATTCACTCTGTCACCCAGGCTAGGGTACAATGACAACAATCATAGCTCACTGCAGCCTCAAACTCCTGGGATCAAGTGATCCTCCTGTTTCAGCCTGCCAAGTAGCTGAGACTACAGGCATGCACTTTCATGCCTGGTTAATTTTTTAGATTTTTGTAGGGACTGGGTCTCAGGTTGGTCTTGAACTCTGGCCTCAAATGATCTCCCACTTTGGCCTCCTAAAGTGGTAGGATTAAAGGTTTAAGACACCATGCCTGGCCTTCCTCTTCCTTTCTTGTAACCTAAGTGTAAATATTCCATCACTGCTATCCTTGATTCTTTTCTCTGAGCATTCACATTTTGAATTCATCTATACCCATGAATCTAATGATTAGCTCTAGTGAGTCTCCCCTCTAAATCAAATTCGTATTTTCCCAGCTTCTATCCTGTGTTTCTGACTATTAGTACCTTCTGGTTATTTCATCATGAACTTAGATTTAGCATGTCCCCAGTTAAATGTATCATCTTCCTTTCCTGT